TTTTGTTCTTCAGTTTGACATGGACTTAATTGTGGTGAAATAGTTGACTTTTACCGACATGAAAAGACTACCTCCTAATACCGTATGTAGTAGTCACTTTCCTAACCTACCTCCTAATACCGTATGTAGTAATCCTAATTAATAAAAAAAAACGGAATGGAACATATGAATACAAAAACGGAATGGAATGGATGATCTAGTTATAATGGAACAGAAATAGGTAAACTGTTTGCCAATTGGGTAGCATGCTAGTACGTAGGTGTTGGATTTTTTTTTTTGTGGTCTATACTATTTTGCTATATAGAATAGTAATACCTGTAAGTTCTATTCTCAGTTATGTTAACATTTGTTCTGAAACGTGTATACCTATTATCCATTCATTTCGCTGCATATTCTTACAGCATATCTGTTAAATACCGTTGGATTACATACCTTCTCTGTGATGTTTGTTCATTATATTCATTGTCTTTAGTTTGCAATTACATTTTCACCTCGTCCATTCTATATGAATCATGTAGAATGGAAATGCATATGTCTTGTATTCTGATACTTAGTTTTAGTTTATGGAACATCTGAGTTAATATTGAATTAGGGTCTATATTTCCGTGTAGGTATAGTGATTAGTGGATAGGGTTTAGTTTCTACTCCCATGGTCGGTTTAGGAATGAATTTGTGTTTAGTTTATGGAAGTTTGGGGTTTACATTAGGGTTTACATTTTCGTATAGAGTTTAGTGTCTAGTTGATATGATTCAGTTTATGTTTGCTTGGGGTTGTCAGCTGGGTAGCATGCTAGTACGTAGGTGTTGGATTTTATTTTGTGGTATATACTATTTTTCTATATAGAATAGTAATGCATGTAAGTTCCATTCTCAGTTATGTTAATTTTTGTTTTGAAACGTGTATACTTATTAGCCATTCATTTTGCTGCATTTTCTGACATCATATGTGTTAAATACAATTGAATTATACGTTTCATATAGGTATGTGATTGTTAATAGAGAATTCATATGCTGCAAAAAAATCACCACGTAGCTTACTATAAAAAGTGTAACTGGCTACCTGTTATGCAAAGGGACATAACCGAATGAATTATGGTCAAAAAGTCTGACATTAAATTATGTCAAAATCAGTGTTACTCACCTAATTTGTTACTCAAATATGGTCAATTCGCCAATAAGCCCTTCTTTATTTTGTAGGCGACGTGTTTTTACTTCATCTACTATTGTCACTTTCTTTTTCTTTTTTTTTATGAAACTACTATTGTCATTGTTCCCCAATCACTTAATTTATTAATAAAACTTGGAAAAAAAAACTTGATACAGCTTTGGTTAGATTTGGCATGTGGTTCTGTTAGATACCAAACCCAATCACTCTACTTTCAATCTTAGCATCTCTCTAAATTCCTCGTTTTTATAGCATCTTCTCTCCCCCATACCAATCACTATCTTCATTATTATTTGTTAGATTCAAGCAGTTTAATCAGGGGGTTGAAAGAAAAAATTTTGTTGCAAGAGAATGCCGTCAAACAGTGATCTCCTCTTTTTCTATTCATCTTCGTCATCGTCTTCTCAGCTAAGCACTCCAAGGTACTTCCAATAACGAGGTCAATTAGCAATAAATAGTTTGAAAATGTTTTCTAATTAATTGTGGCTTTTTTTCATCTTGCAGTGCATGTCAAAATGGGTCTTCTCGAGCCGTTACTGTAACTTCCTATTCTAATAGTTCACTTTTTGATCTTTTGATAGATAAGTTTGTTTTTTTCGAATTGTTGGCTTTTTGTATTTGAAGAAATATCCTCTCTGGGATGCGGAAAAGGCCAAGTGCAGCTTCGGTTTCTCAAAGCCTAAGGTCAACTTACAAAGTCGAACAAGTTTTGTAAACCTTATTAGTTGTAAGTTAAGTCTAACTATGGGCTCTGGATTTTGCAGTATAGCGAAGAACTGAAGGAAGAGATAGCCGAGCTTGAGGCAGAGATCTTACAGTTAGAGCGGTACCTTCTCTCGCTCTACAGAACATCGTTTGGAGATCATTTGCCTGCATTCTTGATACATGATGATTCTTCGCTACCTCAACTGCCACACACCACTAAATTTCACAATGACAGAGTCTCTTATGTGTCTGATACGTCTCTCTCGTCGAGCTTCAGACCGTTGTCTGAATCGGTGAATGATGTTAATAAGAAGATACACATATTAATGTAGTTGCAGCTCGCTTTCAATAATATTATTCTATGATTGTGAACGTTTCAGGACAATAAACAAAGATCAGAGTTTAGCAACCCGAGTTTGGCTGATCTTCTTGGTCTTAACACTCTCAGTCCCAATAAACTCTCTGAAGAGATTGTGAGACTTATGTGCGTAATAATCATTAAACTCTCAGACAAGGGACAAAGAAGATTTGTCAAGAATGAAAAATCTGTTGAAGAACTTGGAGTTATCATCAAAACACTTTGCCTAAATGAGGACAATTTGAAGTCCGTGGAGAGTTTTCTTCAGAAATTCAGGTGAGATTGCTCGGTAAAAAAGAAAGAAAGAAATACTTGATACTTCATAGATTTTAAAGTAGATTACTAGTTATTTATTTTAAACTGACTAAACGCAGATCATTGGTTCAAAAGCTTGAGAAAGTTGATCCGACAAGTATGGCTCGGGAGGAGAAGCTTGCATTCTGGATCAATATTCATAATGCTCTGGTGATGCACGTAAGAAAATTAGCAATTACGAGTAGAGAAATACATTTTCAGTACCTTTAGTTATCATTACGAGCTAAAGCGGTGTGCTCTTACAGGCGTATATACTATATGGGACTGGTGAAGATATAACAAGCACAAAGGTCTTAATGGTTTGAGATATTTATCATTTTCGTTAATATATAAAGTTACTTTTGTTAGATCGTTGATCATGATATCATTTACGTTAAAACCTGTATAGGCTGCATTTAACATAGGTGGGGAGTGGGTAACTGTATACGATGTCCAGAGTTCTATTTTAGGAATTCGTGCGAGCCATTCACCAACAGTAAGTTGATTACGACTTCAATTGTTTGTGTACGTTTGCTTTAGTTTGTTACTTTGTTTCAGTCAAAACCTAATTTATTATTTAATTAGAAACTAGATTTTGATCTGTCCGAAAATATATTTTATTGATAACTTATTAATCTGTCTATTTGTTTACTAATATATTTAAGCATAGATGTCCGTTTTCAGTTCAATTCCAATTTTATTTTTGGTTTCGGTTCAATTCTAGTTTTTGGTTTTGAGTATGAAAATATAGGAATTATACTGTTTGATTGTTTATTAATTTGGGGTTTAGTTTCGGATTGTCTATTTTAGTTTTTGGTTTCGATAACTTATATCACAAAATTAAAAGTAATGCCACTCCTCTAAATATTTTGAAAACGAAGGAGATCATGTAATCTAAATATTTTTAATTGTGTTGATTCTCTTGCTCATTGTAAAGGCTGATGGCTGAAAATGTAAGTAAAATACAAACAGACTAGAATTGAGAAAAAAAAAAGACATAATATAAGAGAAAATTTGAGAAAGTTGCCATATTTTCTAAAATTATTTTATTTGTGAAACCGAACCTATTGTTAAAATAATCAAGACATTCATCTTGAACTGTCCTCAGTTCAATGTGTAAAGTTGAACGTTTTTAAACGTTTTCTGTTTGGTCATGATAGCCTGTATGGACGTTATTTTCACCGGCTAGGAGTTCAAAGACAAGTAGGAGTCACACATATGCGTTGGGGTATGCCGAGCCACTTCTTCATTTTGCCCTTTCAACTGGAACATTAACTGATCCAATGGTACTAAAGAATTCTTTATCTCCATTTGATCTTCTCTCAACCGAGTTAGCCATTTGAAGAAGTATTGTAATGGTTTCACCAGGTTCGAGTTTATACAGCGGAAGGAATACTCCAAGAACTTAGGCAAGCAAGAGACAGTTTCATACAAACAAGTGTTGAATTTGAAAAGGAGACACGGATTCTATTGCCAAAGATCATTTACAACTATGCAAATGACACTTCTCAGGACATGGCTGAACTTTTCAATACAATATCAGGGTGTCTAACAGAGACACAAAGAACAAAACTGAAAAGGGCTATGAAAAAAACGCAAGATAGATGCATTCACTGGATTAAACATGACTCCGACTTTCGTTATATTATCCATTGGGAATACGTAAGAGATAGTCTAGGAATCTGAACTCATATCTTTTGTATCTATAATAGTTCCATGTTCTTGTTTTACTACAAAAAGTACTTTGCATCACTTATTTATATATGTGCATTACTAATTTATCAATGATGCAACCAAAATTTGCATCACCTAAAATGATTCTGAAAGTGATGATGTAAATATTGTTGTATAATTCTAAGCTTGTGGAAACATAACATATTATTAGATGTTTAATATGTTAAGAGATAAACACAATAAGAAAATATAGAAATAGAAAAATAAAGTTTTCTATTAGATTAGGTTTGTGTTTTCCATACCCACATGTTTAAGGGAATTGACTTACATATAAATAGAGATTTATTGAGAGGTGTTCCATAAGGTCTAAGAGAGTAGATCATAAGAGATCTAAGAGAAACATTAGGTGCTTTAGTTTTGAGTAGTTTCTAAAGTTAATAAGAAAAATTGTTTTCTTATTAATTCTTTGTTTCCTGAGATTTGAATTGGTATCAGAGCCTCAGGTTGGAGACTCGATCTAAGCATAAGTTGAAGTTAAGATCCTGGTGCTTGTGACCAAGAGATCACAAGAGCAAGATGGCAGACGTAACTAGGGCTCTACACACGAAGGGCCTTGGATCTACATCCATCCAATGTCATATGTTGTCATCGACAAACTATACGGTTTGGTCGATGAGGATGAATGTTATGATGCGTGTTCATAAAGTACGTGACACGATAGAATCTGGTTCAGATGATCAAAAGAAGAACGATGTTACAATTTCTCTTTTGTTTCAATCCGCTTCCGAAAACTTGATTCTCCAGGTGGGAGAACAAGCCGCTTCCGAAATCTTGATTCTCCAGGTGAGAGAACAAGCCGCTTCTAAAGACATCTTGAACGCCATCAAGTCACGACACCTTGGAGCTGTTCGTGTAAGAAGGGCGAGACTTCAAACATTAGTCAAAGTAATGTCGAGTGTAACAAACAAAGAATGTGTGTGTGACGCATGTGTCATAGAGAAGCAAACCATACACTCATTCCCGAGTGTAAGACACGAAGAAGGCGTGTGTAATGCATGTATAACAGAGAAGAAAATTAGACATGATTTCCCGGCTATACTATTGAAGAAGAAGCATGAGGTATTCAACCGGTTCAAAAGGTTGAAGGAACCCATCATAACCTTTCTCACGATAGATGGGTAGAGTTAACCTCAGCTAAGTTCAATCTAATTTGTGAAGAAAGTAGAGTTGAAGCTATGAAAGCCGAGATGGAATTTATCACAAGAAGCAAGACGAGTGAGCTTGTAGAAAGACTGGTTGGTGCTAAACCTACATGTTTAAAGTGGATCAACAAGATTCAAGGAGCAGATGAAATCAAGATAAAGGAAATGAGTCCTTCTCAAGGAATCTGGTGTGACACAGATATTGAAGTGTGTAACACGACTCAAGTTCCAATGGAGTCAAGTTACAATTTGTCAAAAGCTTGGAGACGAACCAGAGATAGATGCTCAAAGAATCATGTGTGACACACAGATGGAAGCGTGTAACACAACACATGTACCAGTGGAGCATGTGGTTAGACCGGCTGGTGTTAAAAATACAGAGGTATGTAACACTACTCACGCAGGGGTATGTGATACACAGATGGAAGCGTGTAACACATCACATATAACAGTGGAGTATGTGTCAGGTGTTGAGCAGAATGCCAACATCTTTACCAGAGCTCACGTACGCAAGATGGTGCATGTGACCAGAGCTCACGTACGCAAGATGGTGGACGTGACCAGAGTTCTCGTCGCAGTGAGATCCAGCCGGAAGACTCATCGCAACTTAAGTGAAGAGGTCAAGAGAAAGTTTTACAGGAACTGGGCCAATTCTAAGAAGATGCATTACATAAGAGAGGAAAGCATCCAGTCTAACCTTGAGAAGGATGTGAATCCAATGGGTGGATTCACATACTATTGTGTGGTGAAGGATGATTACTTGAATATTAAGTTCAAGCAAACGAGGAGCTTAATTGGAGTTCAAGAAATTGATCTCTCTAAATCAAGTTGGAATTAAGGGGGGTGATTGTTGGATAATTCCAAGCTTCTAGAAACTTAATATGTTAAGAGATAAACACAATAAAGAAAATCTAGAAATAGGAAAATGAAATTTTTATTAGATTTGGTTTGTGTTTTCCATATCCCACATGTTCAAGGGAATTGTTTTGCATATAAATAGAGATCTATGGAGAGGTGTTCCATAAAGTTGCAAGAACACACAAATTATAAGAACTACTCTTCTTATTAGATTTAGGGTCTGACTGGTTCCCCCGCTATCACCCACAAACGCATTTTTTGCGGTTGGTAGCGGTTGTTGACGTTTTACAACAATCAGTCAAATCGCTCTGAATCGCTTCAAACCTCTTAAACTCAAAAGCTACTTCCAACTAGCGTTTGCGATTGCGGGCAGTTGCGGGAGGGTGATTTTTTTTCTTTTTTTTTTTGAAAAACAATATAAATACAATATAAAAATATACAATAAAATTTATAAATTGGAATTCTAAACATACTAAAATATATCTATTATATTTTAATTAATATTATTAAAAAAGCAAAAAAAAATTTCAATAATTTTAAAAAATTAAAACTATAACTTTATAAGTATAATTTCTATGTTTATTACAATATTATGGTTTTTGGTATTTTTATAATTATACCAAATGTAAATATTGTTAATTTATATTTTAACCGCTACTGCATTTGGTAATTAACCAATCATAAATATCCCGCAAACGCACCAATTTGTAATCTCAGTACAAGTCGTACGAATCTCTTAAAACCACAAGAAACCGCAACCACCCGCATTCACAAGCTCCCGCAACCTCAACCGTAACCGCAACCGCAACCGCTGTGTTTGAACTAGTCAGATCCTTATAAACTCTCTCAAAACTAAATCAATGTGTTTCTCTTAAGGGATGAAACATCTTTGCAACTCCTTATATAGGTCGAAGCTACTTCTTAATCTAATAATAATATGAAAACATTTCTAAGCTCGATATGTTTTCCTTTTTCCTTAACTTACTAAACTTCCCTTTAATAAGTTAACTTTCTCTTTAAGTTAATTGGAATCATACAACATTCCATAAGATTTAAGAGAGTAGATCATAAGTGATCTAAGAGATACATTGACTGTTTAGTTTTGAGTAGGTTTTAAAGCTAATAAGAAAAGTTGTTCTTATTAATTCTTTGTTTCTTGAGATTTGAAATATTTTACAAAAATTTAAGTAAAAAGAAATTTACTTATATTGACTCTTATTTTTCAACTAATTACTAGACTAACTCCATATTATGGACACTTGTTAAACATGTTTATAAAGACAAGTGAACCACTAGAGTTGATTTTTTTTATGATATACCATTATAATTAATTTATTAATATTTAAAAAACATTAAATCATAAATTATCTACCTTAGTAAAAAAAAATTACCCTTTAATTAGTTTTTTTTTTAAGTTGTCTTCTTATTTCTTTGTGTGTTGCCGTTGGAGAAAAATTCCCAAAACCAAAAATCTAGGGTTCTGGCGAGTTACTAATTGATACACTAACATTGAGTTCGTCGTTGAGGGGAGTTTCGATTCACTTGCAATTTAATCGACCTTACTCCGCCAAAGCTCGATTCTTCTTGTCTAATCCACTGTCAAACTCTCCGGCAACGAGAACCTCCGTCGCTTAACCCTTGATATCCGTCGTATTCTCTACTGAAATTACAAACTGATTTCTGGTTTAGCTGTATGCACCCTCATCCTCTCTGTTGTCATCGACCTGATAACTGATTTCAGTTTTAGTAACTTCACTGCTTGCTTTCCATTTGAGTAAATTCATTCCTCTAGTGTTCAATGAGTTGAATTAATTTGGCTTTGATACTTTGTTAAGGGATATGTATGGGAAACAAAGACATATTGTCCACTTTTACTTTTTTTTTTTTCTGATAGAGCAACTCTGTTTTCTTTGTGCATTGATTCTCTGAATTCTGTGTTTATGAAGCGTTCCTAATTTACAGAAATATTGCTCTCTGATTTAAGTGCATCAGTCCTTAAAAGTTAATTTTTAGGGGGTGTTAGTGGGACTTAGATTTATATAGAGTTGGTTGATTTTAAAAGTTGATAGATTTGTTGAATTTGAAAAGAGTTGTAGAAAATATTGTATATTGTGAAAATTTATAAAAATAAAGAAATGTAATTATTTTAAGAATTCATGGGAAACGTGTATTATCCTCAAAATCTTGTTTTGTGAGTTAAAATGCCAAGAATTTAACTTCCAATAACACTTAATTTAATAAATTTGCAGAATCATTAAAATCTAAACTTCTTAAATAACAAATGATTTTGTATAGAATTATAGAATCATCAAACCAATAACACTAGAATTTAATAAGAATGTGAGAATCTATAAACCAATAAAACTAGACTTGAAAATTCTAAGAAACATAGCAAATCAAATTCTCACTAACACCCTTATATTCTCTTGGTATATTCTTGGTTTCATGCTAATCACTTTTTTTCTTTGATAGATATGGCATCGTCTAGCTGCAAAAAACACTATCCGCGTCTACTCTACAAAAATAAAAAAACAAAGCTCCCAGTCATTCTTCTACTATTATAACTATTTATCAAATTTTCAGATGGTTAAAGTTGGAATGGGAATTGATGATTGAAGCATGGGGTGCAGTAAAGAATTCTGCAGTTGGTGTATTTCCTCGGTTTTATGAGCTCAACTTCATATGATGTCCTAAGGTTGTCCAACACCTATTAACGCATCAGCTGCGCTTTAAGAAGAATTATGAGTTATGGTCATTGATTGACTGTCTTCCTATCCGTCTCTCTTTGATCGAATTTGGGGTGATCACTGAGATGAATTGTGATCTTTTTGTAGATGAGGATATTTGTGATGTTGATCATAGAGTTTTCTGGAAGAAACGGGGGTTTCCACAGCTGTTGGTCCTAATTTGGTTGAGCTGCGGTCTTTTTTGGAAAGATGAAAAGATTGGATTCTTGAGAAGAGGATAATGGTTGGGTTGGTTTGTGTTCTTCATCTTCGTGTCTATGGAATAGCTCCCACCTGTCGAATT